TTATAGGTTCATGGTTCTTGACATAATATTAGTATTTAGGCTCATATATTTGTATTTAAAATCATTGCCCATTCACCTATTTAACTTTACAAGGAAGCCATCCCATGCTTTAAGGTATTACCACTGGGACTGGTAATGATACAGCAAGCTTGGCAATTATGTCAGATTGAAATTGTGGGTGGAAAAAAGGGGGGGATTTAGATGTTTCAGAATTTTTTTTTTTTTTTACAAAAGTCATCATGATAGAGCAAAAGAACTTCAATTTAGAGAAAAAGAGAAGTTGCCTTAGGTTTCAAATACTCAAAGCAAGGGGTGGGAAGGCATGCTTTTGCTCTTCTCTCTATATTTTCTCCATTGGTAATTCCATTGACCTCTTTGGTTTTAACTATCATGGCGGGCAGGGGGGAAATGGGGGGCCACTTTCCAAAATTATTCTTTCAACTATCATCTCTTATGTGTCTGATCCCTTTTTCCAGCTCTCCCCAAGAGACCTTGTCCAGGACCTCTCCAAGCTGTTCAGATACAAAATGTCCACAGGGAAATCTATGTGGTCCCTCTGTCAGCAATTCTTCCATTGGGTCTATCATCATCATCGTCATCATCATCATCCTACAAAACAGACACAAAATCATGGTGCTTCTCCCAAGGACCCATTATTGCTAATTTCTACTGCTTCTACCTGCCATTTTGGTCCATCTCTATCTCTTCTCCTGCTCAAACCAACTGAAGTGTTCCTAGAGCCCTGGGCATTCCTAAGAGATTCCCTTTTATATTATTTGTTCTAGACCTTTTCCCTATCTGGGAACCCCTTCCACCATTCTATAATCCAATCTATGTCAGCAGTTTTTTTTTCTAATGCCAGTTTCACATAGCCTTCCTGATCCATTCTGTCAAAAGTACTCCCTACCTATCCTGAACTTTCCATGATCTTACTCTTTCTTATGGTGCACACTTAGGGCTTAACTGAAATTATATTTGTGAGTGTACAGTATATATCAGGCATGTATGTAGGCACTTTATATACATTTTAACTTAATCCTTTCAGCAGCCCTCTAAGACCTAGAAAGACCCCTACCTAGAAATCCATATTTTACTAGTCTCGGGTATAGCTTAGACATGGGGATTTTTTTTTTTTTTTAAGTAGGCTCCACACCCAGCATGAAGCCCAATGCAGGGCTTGAACTCATGACTCTGAGATCAAGACTTGAAATGAGATTGAGTCAGTCACTTAACTGACTGAGCCACGTAGGTGCCCCTGGACATGGGACTTTTAAGTACTCCTAGGGTAATTCCAGTATATAGCATGGTTGAGAATCACTGGTTTAACTCCAAATCCATTAGCCAAATATTCTCCGATAGTAGGTATCACTTTTGAAGCTTTAAACAACAAACAAATGCTAGACCCTAGCCCAGTCCTGCTGAAGTAGACTTCTAGGAGACAGCGTCTAGGAATCCATATGCTGATAAAGCTTCACAGTTATTCTGTCACATAACCAGGATGGAGAGCCGCTGTCTTTGTCAGACCCTGTATCATCTTCCCATAGTCCTAGTTTACAAGTAATTATACATGTCTCCTCCCACTGTGTAATCTGTAAACTCTTTGAGGACAGGTTTGCATTCGAGTCACTGTGATCTGCTCCCTCGCACCTAGCAAGGTCCCTTGCACATAGTAAGTTATAGAAACTAAAGTACCAATATTATGTCCTTTGATGAAGAAAACAAAGATGCCTTTTTAAGAAAACAAAGATACCTTTACATAGTACTTCTTCTATGCTGAGTTTTTAATCTCTACTCTACTGACCTAGAAAGTCACTAAGTCATTTCAGTTCTCTGAGTATAACATTTGCATATCTGTACAAGCCAGGGCTAGGACTTGAACTCAGCTCTTCTGACAATACTTTGGCCTCTACAACTCAGGCCTTCAAAGCAACTACAAAGTGAAAAACTCAACTATCCATGTGTTCAGATACCTGCTGTCAGATGTGTTTCTAAAATTTGAACATAACCTGTCACATGGGGAAAAAAAGGTTTGCATTATGAAATGGATTTGGAAAATACATTAATATCAACCCAAAAATAAGTATGGAATAAATAGACATGCTTTTTTTCTCACCTCCCTCACCTCCAGAGGTACCTATAGAGAGACAAACATACCCTTTAACATTTCCTAACTATTTAGTTACTCCATTAGGTTTTTTTTTTCCCCTTCATCTTAGTTTGTACTGCTTCTCAAAGACTTTTTCAAATAACCTGAAGTTCTGGTTATAATTGAAATCTTTTTAAAGATTCATATACAGTTTACTTAAGGTAGTAAATTGATATCTGGTATAAACTTGTGATGTTTCATTCAATATGAATATGCACATAAACATAACAAAGTTAAAATGAAACTTGAACAATACCTAGAAACCAGGATTCTAGGCTCTTTTTGCCATTTCTGAGCTAGGTGACTCTGGACAGGGAAGGAACTTTCCAGAAGTCTCTTTTCCACCTGAAAAAATGAAAGGGAGAAGGACCTAAGATAGACCTTCCTACATTTTCTTCCAGACATGAAAATGTATGATCCCTTAAAATAAGAAGAACTCATTTATTAGGCTTTGGGTCAAGATTAAATTAGTCACCAATCCTGACCCATTAATCAGTTGATATGTGAAGGGGCAAACAAAATTATAATGAAATTTGGACACTTCTTCACAAGGTAGAAAGCATTCACCTCCATTATCTCTTTTCACTTTCATAACATAACCTGCAGAACACTCCTTATTATCCCCATTTCACAGAAAACTGAGAAGCAGATGGTTGAGTGACTTGTCCTGGGTAACAAAATCAGAAAATGACAACTATAGACCCCCCCCACGGGACCCAGCTTTTGACCCCTTTCAGCACTTCCGTGACCACAGGCAATGTTGGAGATGGGGACCCAGGTCAATCTGACGTGGAGACAGCTCCCCCAGTAGCCTCTGTGCCTTCCCAAAATGTCTTCTAGCCCAGAGGCCCATAAATTGCTTTAGAATAGAATACCAAGTAAAGATTTATTTATCATATCTTTTCTGAACGCATATTTTCTGGAGCATTTATAGATCTGTTTTTCCAAGAAGCTGAGAGTTCCTGATAAAACACGACAGATAATGATAAATGAGCATCTATGTTAGCCTAGCTGGGAGGAGGCCCAGGGACTGTTAACACCCCCCCTGTGAAGTTAATCCCATTTCTTTTAGCCATTTCTTTATTAGTTAATGAGGTCTTACAAAAATGTGTGTCTGTGATGGTGTTTTAGCATCCTTGCCTCTAGGAACATTTTCAAATATTCATCAAGTCGCTCGTCTGACCAAAGCTTAAAGCAAAGGTGCATTAAGTATGAATTCTAGTCAACTTCAAATGTGGGTGGTCACAAAGCTGCTCCTGAAATAGCCCCCTCAGTAATCCTCCTCACTGGTATCTCCAGATCTGCAGCGCTGGGTGCAAATGTGAAGGGGAACCAGGGAAAAAAGGTATTATTAGGACACCAGGACTCCGAAGGGCAGCCCCGTAAGCTTTGATCCTGCCTCTTGACTGACAGCAGTGTGGCTAGCTTTTGGAAAACTGAATAACTTAAGGGAAACAAAAACAAAATGAAAAAGGAATGACCAGTCAAGCCCCTGGGAAGGAGAGCAGAAGCTCAATGCTAATACTCCTAGAAGGCCAGTTCCCACTTCCCACTTGAGTTCCTTATAGCAAAGAGGGAACCATCAAAAGATGTCTTGGTGCTCAATAGTACATTTTTGGAGAGACAAACCAAAGGCAGAAACTTGATTAACTACTAAACCAAGCTCCCTGGTACGGTGAATCACAGGGACTATATCTACAACCTAGTTTTGGCAGGTGCCCCACCCCGTAGCACGATCCTAGGAACACAGCTAGAGTACACGCACGCACACACGTGCGTGCGCATCTTCAACACCCTCCTCCTCCAACCCATCCACATACACAAGACTTCCATCCTCCCAAAGCACACAATCCTTGATGCTTTTCCACCCTTTCATGATTTTGTTTCCTCAAAACATCACTTAAGGAAGTTGACATTATGGCTGGCCTTCTATGTGTAGTTTATAAGCAAAGGGACTTTTTCAAAGGGCATCTGTAAAAATATCATTTCAAATGTGTAAGGAAGATGAAGCCCTTCTGTTTGGTTCTGGATGGCTTGGGCTCTCTGTGGTATACTTTGCCTAAGAAGCTGAAAATGACAGCCCAGCATTCTCATACCTGTCTCTGCACAGGTAACCAAAATAGGGCACCAGAATGGTACAGGTTTCCTGATCCTACTTTAGAACAAGCTTGAGGAACGAATGATGAGCCAAAGTCTTCTGACCTTCAACCCCAGAGGGCAGTGCCATAAATCACAGTAGTACTGGTAGCTCAGTGCTTTCTGACACAGGAGGTCCCATTCATGTCATTGCCACTAAGACTTATATTCACTGGAGTCTCTTGGCCTTTTTGCATGATCAACACCCACCGCCCCCCTGCCAAATGAAGGAAAGCTCTGGGCCATACATGTGAAAGGAGATGGCCATGTAATCCACTCAGTACAGATATGGAAACACACAGACATCATCCATTAATTAACAAGGGCTGATAAGGCAAACATTTCCTTTTGCAACTCATTGCTCAACTTTCTGGTCATTTTAACTGGTTATACGCTTAATTGCAATGTAAAAAAAAAAAGAAAGAAAGAGAAAAGAAAAGTAAAGAAAAGAGAGAGAGAGAGGGAAGGGCAAGAAAAAGTCCTGAAAATAGCAATAGCACAGGAATAATTCTGCCTTAAGTAAAGCTCAGCCTATAATATTATTTCTCTTTTGTCCCTGCCTCGGGGACATTGAGGGCACATTAACAGCCATTATGATTACGGAAGATACAAACTAATGTTGGTTGTTCCAGATGTAATTTTGCAATTTCTCAAAAGAAATACTGTTCCGTCCCAGATGCAAATTTGACTATGTCCTGTCCTTAATGTTCTATTACAGGTGATTCACATAACAGGCCGGCTACGACTGAGGGTGTCCCTATCCCACGGGAGGACCGTTCCCAGCCAAATCATGGGTCTTGTGGTTGTGGCTCATGCCCTGCCTCCCCCTACGATCAATGAAGTCAGAATTGACTGCCATATGTTCGTCACTCGAGTAAATATGGACCTCAATATCATTTACTGTGAAAATAGGTACTTTGTTTTTGTTCTCATTTCCTCTGTTGTATGTTACACATTGGTGAAGACTGGTGTTTGTGGCAGTCTGAAGAATTTTACTCTCCCAGTGAGGCTCATTATAAATCCTGATCTTATTTTTAATGGCTGCTTGGACTGACACCAAACATGCTTTTTATTTAAAATTTACATTGCTGTCCTGATTTACGTTAGGGACAACAATGGAATGGATTGGGATACCCAGACATCCATATGCTATAATTAAGACCATTTTGGCCAAGAACCTAAGGAGAGAGCAGGGCTGAGACGTTCTTGGCAAAATTATACCATAAAAGGTATCTCCTGCTGCCTCAGTCAGGCGTACCTCCTGTCTCCTGTACGGGCCCAGCCTCAGGATGGCCAGCGTTCATACAGCCTTCAGCACATTGCCTTAGCTGCTTGCCGGGCTATGCGTTACCATGGACCGGGTGGCTCAAACAACAGACATTTATTTCTCATAGTTCTGGAGACTGGGAGTTCCAAGATCAAGGTACAAGCTAATTGGGTTCCTAGCAAGAGCCCACTTCCTGGTTGCAGATAGCAATCTTCTTGCTGGATCTTCACACTGGGGAGAGTGAGAGCTCTGGTCCCTTCCTCCTCTTTCGAGGACACTAATCCCATCATGGGGGCTCCATCCCCATGACCTCATCTTCACCTAATTACCTCCCAAAGCCCCCCCCCCATACTATCACACTGAGAATAAAGGCTTCACTGTATGGGTTTTGTGGTGGGAGGGACACGTGCAGGCCATAGCACATGGAGGGGAAAAAAACGAGAATTCGAGGCCCCCAGAGGGAAAAGGATGAAAAATCTGTAAAACTATTAAATAAAATGTAATCCTGAGGAGTTTGCTTTTATAAATTAAATTTTTTAAAAAAGAGAGAGACTCATCATATAAATGACTTGACAGTCCTTCCTTAACACCGAGCTTTGATAAAAGGACTTTTTAACCTCTGGTTTAAAAGTTCACTTTTTCCATTAAGCACAGAGCAAGGGACAAGGAAATGGGACAGTGCCCCCTGAGACCTTTCACCCACAAGTCACCAGCCCATCATCAGACCGATTTGAAGAAGAGAGAATCAGCAGGCACGGGGAGAAGAGGGAAAGAAGCTTCCATGAATAGCATTCAATCTGCTGGTGCCACAGGCAGACTCGCTGAGGCAGTTTTGAGAGGGTGATTTTGTGGCACAGATTACGGTCACGCACAAAAGCAGCGTATGTTCACTGAGCCCTGGTAGTGCCCTCAGGGACAAAATGAAAGAGCGGAATGGTCAAGCAGCTCAGGTAATTGACCTCTGCAAGGCCTAGCCAAGAGGAAGATGGCCAGCGTCTGTGTTCAGTCCACTGGGAAGCTCTGAGGATGTTGAGCCCAAGTTAGAAATGCCTACCATTTCCAGTCAAGATTGGATCCAGAGGAAAGAATCCATCAGGAGAAAAAGATACCCACCTGAGCTATTAGTGTTCCATGGGGTAGAAGAGACCATGAACCCGTCACTCTTATTTAACAAGTAACCCTAAATCTATTTTTTTCAAGTTTGGTTGGCATTTCTTAAAATTTTTAGAAAACTGACTGTACACTTGGATTGTGTGTAAGGTATTCTGGAATGGCAAAAGAGTATCAGGAAAGACAGACAAAAGGATTCGCTAGGGTGAGCAAGTGATAATAAAGATAGCGTTTGTTAAACACTTAGCTACACGCTCGGCAACGTGCAAAACTCATTATATACATCATCTGCTTTAAGCTTCAGGACAGTTCTGTGATCTAGATGGGTGTTGCCATGGCCTTCGGCACCCTCACGCAATTTCAGTTTAGCAAGAAAGGGTAAGTGAGACGCCCAAGGTCACAATTTGAACTCGAAATGTGCCAGACTTTAAAACCAGGCAGTTAGCTACGTGTGGGCCTTCCTGCATTCCCTGTCACTTTTTTTCTAGAGAAGTCAGGCTAAGTGGTAAGGAAGCCATCAGACTAACCACTGAAGGAGACTCTCATATCTATGCATCCATTAAAGAACACAGTTCTAGCCCACAAAGCTGTTTACTCTGATAAAAAAGATAGAATGCTGGAGAGGGAGCTCCAACGCAGGGAGGCAGATAGAAAGTCTGATGACCTATGGCTTTACCTCTTCAAATACGTGGTCGGGCTCCCTTGATTTACATTTACTACTGTCACTCCCTCCGAAAACCAGAGCCTCATCTTATTTACCTGCTTCCGGTGATTGTCCTGTCCCCAAACCCTCACTTCATTTTCATTCCTGTGATCACAGATTGATTAATTCTGCTCCATGGACCTGAGTGCCTTTTGGTGCCACTCCAATAATTGAGATCATTTTCTGTGACCCACTTTAAGCTTTTTTTCTTCCCTTTAAAGAAAAAAAAAAAAAAAAACTTTTTTCCACAACCCCTTATTAGCCAATACAATACGGCATTATTTCCCAGCTGAAGAGGATAGAAGTTATTTAAAAAGGACTCGTGTTAAAAGAAATTACTTGCTTGACCTGAGGAAAAAGCATGCCTCATGTGCCAGGCACTGTGCTATGCTCATTTCATTTCATTCATCAATCCCCTCACCAACCTCCTAAGTTATTTTTACAGATAAGGAAACTGAGGCTCAGAGTACAAGATGCCATCAGGATCCTGCTCCTCATATAGGTCATCAGACTGGTCTGGGGATTTCTACACAAGTATTAAGTTGTCTCTGGACACTGAGCTAGTCACACTTGCCACAGTAACAGGTTCTATACATCGGAATACGTCAGATGTTTTGAAGGATTTCATTCCAATAAAGCATAAACTAAAGAACGTCTTCCCTAAAGTATCACTGGCTTTTTCCCAGGGCCTATTGTTTAATTAGGGAGTTGCTAACTAGAAACACAAGACCTGTCCTGGCCTCTGCAGACCATTCTTCTCCTCTGCATTCCCTAGGAGGGCGGAGGACAAAGCCGACATCAGAGGCCTTCAGGGGAGCTGGCAAATTTCAGAAACACCAATGAGGGCCTTTTAATGACATCCTTATTCACTCATTTGCAGAAAGGGGGTGTAAACTGTGCTTGGAAAGCAGCTAATGGTTTTAGGAAAACACCAACTAATCTGCTTTGTACCAGAAAACCATGGCGTTACAAAACTCTTTATATTGTCCCATTTTCACCTCGGCTTACCAAGAATTCTAGTCTGGCCAAAAATCTTACTTAACATTAGATGTTGAGAAATCCACTCCCTGGGTAGTAACTTTTAATTATATTCCCCATTATTCTGGTTTGGTGCGGTTCAGTTTGGTTTAGTTCCCCTGCCTTGGGGGGTCAAGACTGAGCTCTCCAACCATGGTCTCTCAGGTTTCTGAAACATGTCATATCTAAAGACTCACTCCTATTTAGAGCTAATGTGAGCCCTAAATGATAAAAAGCACAGGGATGGTAAAGAGAATAAATTAAACAGAAGATATATTCTATTTTGGACCGCCCAAAACCAACCTGTTCCTGGACAGGGAGGACGATAATAAGCATGTTGACATCTTTGTGTAAATCGGGCAGATTCCCCCAACATGTTTTCCAATTGCCATTCTATTTTTCTGTGCTCCTGCCCGAGGACATTGACGTCTGGACAATCAATGACACAGGCTTACACACACGTACTGCCTCGCACAAGCCTGCAGAGCTGCTACAATGGTTTAAAAGTTTCTGTGTGGAATCCACCACAAAGTACCAGTTAAAAGGGCCAGGAGTGAAAGCCGAGCTCCCAAATGACTAAGACTGAAAAAGATAATACCCCCAGGCATCTGTATGTCTCAGCATTTAAATTATATCCCTTGAATGCCAATTTGGACTTTGTGCCAAGAAGCGGTTGAAGCCCTTTTTTCATGGAAATACCCAATAGAAGACCAATCTGTTTAAATGAAAGGTGTCTCTAATCATTTGGTATCAACATAACATGTTTTTATTTTATTACGTAACCTTGAATTATCTTGGCCTCTAATGAGGATCTTGCATTGTTACTGATTCTCAATAATTTCATGGAATTATGTTGTCCAAATGCGTATTCTGATGCCAAAAAAAAAAAAAAAGAAAGAAAGAAAAGAAAAGAAAAACCTGTCTCATGATTTAAACGCAGTTGCTGGATCAAGCACATCTCCTATTTTCAAAAAAGTCCGATATCCTTTGAAGAAATTATCTTCTCTGTCCGGCAAGGGTTTTCCCTCAAAGTGCCACCTCCTGATGGGTACCCCCAGTATAAGGAAAACTATAAGGGGACTTGTTTCTCAGTCATTGAACAATTTCTGGACTTCCTGCCCTCCCCCTCCCTGAATCCCAGCCTGTGTTCTTCTCTCTGCAGGATTAGTGATTATATGGATCTGACCCCCGTAGACATCGTAGGGAAGAGATGCTACCACTTCATCCACGCTGAAGACGTCGAAGGCATCAGGCATAGTCACTTGGACCGTAAGTAACCCCTGTGCATGGGAACAGCCTGGCTCATGTCAAGTCTCTCGGATACTTGTTTGGTTTCAGTGCGGATTTCTCCCTTCATGTCTCGTGCGTACACTTGAAATGACGGTCAGCATGCAGTGAGAAAAAGTGAGACGTAAATCACTTCAGCTGGTGTTGGAATTAGATTGGAAGTTGGAACTCAGGCCCGCAGAAATTGCTGGATCTTTAGGCCCTTGCCCGGGATTTTGTGGTCTCTCGTGCTCTCTCTCCCATGAAGTGATGGGGGAAGCTCTGCCTTATGCTTTCTTGACCCTTTCATTTTCTAGAGAGCGAGCTCCACTCTGAAATTTGTGGTCTCTGTTTGAAGATATATGTTGGAGAAGGCAAGTTCAAATAGACCAGAGCCTACAGCGATTCCTATTGATGGACCGCAAAACTGGGGCAAGGGGGTAGCTGGGGAACAGGGGCAGAGTGTCCACGGCCGCTCTCGAAGGTGGCGTCTTTTCACTGTATTTCTGGAAAGGGGGTTATTCTGAGGAACACTCCCGAGAGAGAGAGAGAGAGAGAGACTCATCTCAGCTCTTTTTTTTTTTTTAAAGATTTATCTATTTATTTGACAGAAATCACAAGTAGGCAGAGAGGCAGGCAGAGAGGAAGCAAGCTCCCTGCTGAGCAGAGAGCCCGATGTGGGGCTCGATCCCAGGACCCCAGGATCATGACCTGAGCCGAAAGCAGAGGCTTTAACCCACTGAGCCACCCAGGTGCCCCTCATCTCAGCTCTTTAAGTCTGATTCCCAGCCTCTGACTCAAAAGCTGACCTCCGAGATGCCTTCTTTGGCATATAAAGACAGAGGGACCAACCGTGCTCTGGCCAGGTCTGAGCCAAAACTCCCACAAAGCATCCCATGCAGCCTTCCCTCACCAGACTCAGTGGGCTGTTGCCACCGTGTGTGGAAAGGCTCTGACGATCCCATAAGGCACGAGGCACCGGTCTGTGGAACCTCTTAGGAAGAGGCTGCCCTTTTTCCAACCAGAGGTCCTTTTGATGACCGACCAGCAGACTCTTCTTCCTACAAGATGAGGGTCTGACGAACTCATCCTCTCAGAAGGTTCTAAACCCAGTTCTGAACTCTGATTTTAAATACATGCGAGGTGCCACCAGTGAGAGTCTATACCTTGACGGTCAAGTTTTCCTCTAGCGACACGAGCCAGGTGGCCTTCATATTTACTTCCTCTCCCTGTTCTTGCTGTGGTTGAGGAGAGCGGTCTCAGGTCTTTCATTTTTAGACTCCCATCTTCAAAAGCATAATGCCAAGACATTCAGTCAGGCAGAGTCTCAAAGCGTGAGCGTCTTGCAGCATTTTTTAACCCTGCATTAGCAACTGACATGGGACCAAGTTCAGTGTCAGATTTTGTATGTATCATGTCTCTGGGAAAAGCCTGCCTGTGAGGCTGCTCTCCGGCAGGTTCTACTCCCAACACTGAACGTGTGCCTTGGTATTGCACACCAGGGATTTAGGGAACACACTTGTTGCTAAGAATGAATGGGTGTTGTGCATGGCAGAAGCAGATGGCTCTTCAATTAATTGGGGGAAAAAAATGATGCTGTTTCATGAAAAGAAACATCAGGTTCTTTGTAGCTAGGAATTTAGAAAAGATGGAGAAAAACTCGGGATCTTTGGAGGAAGCTCCAAGTGTATTTTTGGACCAACATATGCCAGAGATCCAGGCTTTAAAAATGAATATATTGTCTTTGGGACCCTGTCGTGGACCATGTGTGTGGGGAGAGAAGGATGCTTTTTCATTTTGGAATCTTAATTGAGGTCTAACTTCAGAAACCCAGTGCTGACAAAAAAGAACTATGTCATCCCCAGTTATTATTTGGAAAACGTCACGCTATCTCTCTGGGATTTGATTTACAGCTTGAAGAAACACAATTCCTCAGGAACAGTGAGCTAGGGCAGTTCATTTCTTCCCATGAAGCAAAGGTCTCCAACAAATATGCTTGATGCCATTCTTTCCGATCTACTTTTATCTCATTTTCAGTAACCAGAATAATTTGAGAGTGCTGAAAATAAACAACTCTGCCATTCACTATTGTGCTAGTCACCTAATTTTTCTGGTATCGTGCCAACTAATAAACAGAGAAGGTATGCTTTTAAATTCTGTGATTTTTTTTCATTACTTGATATTGACATACTGGCTATTGCTTTATGATTTAGCCTCCTAACAATGATTGAGTTCACTCTTTCAACTCACACACACGACTTCTAATTTTAAGTTCTTTTAATAACCTCAAACACATGAAAAACAAATAAAATGAGCTGATAATTCTGCACAGTAAAATACACTTCACATATTTAGCTATCACGCTGTGGAATAACTCCACAATGTCAAGTAGCACACAATTAGTAAAACTGTAGGGGGAGGAAAAGGAGTGTTTTGATCCTGAAGAATTTTGATCCTAATCAGATTGAAATTTCAACGTTCTTGTAGTGCTTAATATCTTCAATCACACACACACACACACACACACACACACACACAAATCAAACCAATGCCAATGTCAGGTTTTGCATTCTGTGACTGAAATAAAATGCTAAAATATACAAATGCATCTCGCTTTGTACAATAAACATTAACATCATTATAAAGTAAGATTGAGTCTAAAATTGTGTGATGGAATGTCTGATGTTTACCTAATTCTCAAACCAAAGCCAGCCCAGAAACAAAATGACAGAGCATGTAATAAGTCTTGGTTGTGTAAACACTGGAAGAAAAGGCAAAAAGCACAGGATTCTCCTGTCCAAAGCAGTAGGCTGTTAACGAAGGATGCCTCAACTGTAACTTCTTGGCAGGAGAAGGTCATGGCGACATAGAATCAGCTGAAGAATAAGATAGAATTCTCAAACAAAGGGACGGTTCAAAAATAAACCACATTAACTATTTAGCTTTTCTTCCTAGAGCTATTGGCACAATTCCTATTTCTGTGCAAGAAAGACAGGTTTTAGCCAGCTATAATATTTCCTGATATTTTGATATCTGTCTTATGCTCCAGTTTACAGATAAAACTTTAAAAGACTCCATAGTCTTTGATAACTCAAAATGCTATCTTTATCACTTATATCTTTTTCCTAGCATAGGCATCTGTAAATCCATAGATGAACTTGTCTCTAGAATAAGGAAAGTAAAAGGGAATCAGCTGCAGCAGGAACTGACAACTTCCATCAGTTGAACCAAGAACTTTGGACCATTCACTCTCCCACTAAGTTAACATGAGACGCCTGATAGTTCACTGGCTTTCAACATAAAGAATCACTAAGAATCGCATTATCTGTACCAACATGGTGGGTGAGTGAAATTATACTGGGATTCTAAAACCAAGGGGGTTGTAGGACCTCTTCTTTCACACGGTGACCAAAGACCTCTGATTTTTCTTTTTTTTTCTTACGCCACCCTACTGGAGTCATTGAACCCAATGTCACTGACTCTCCAGGCCGAACTGACCCAACAAACATTTTGAGGTTTGAATTCTCAACTACTCATACAAGCAATTATTTGAGCATCTTGGCCTATCAGGCTCCAGTCCTCCAGGACTCAGGAGGTACCGACCTCCAGGTGATCAGTCAGGTCTCCCTTGAGTCTGATGCCCCTCTTAGCTTGAGCATTCAAGAGCAGTGCACCTGTCTACCACTCTGCCAATAGCCCACATATGGAAGGGCAGACCATGAATGCTAAACCAACCAGAGAAACATCCAGACTTTTGTCTGTAGAAGTTGCTCAACTTGTTTTGAGATATTCCCGGGGTCCTTTCCAGGCCAAATGCACAATTCTAAAACCTAGACAGAGTGGCGAAGAGAGACTTCCCTTCCCTCTAGAAGGTTGTGCTCCACTAGCAAGGCTTGAGTCTCTGCCACTATGGGACTTCCAAGAAAAAGGAGCCAGACGTGCTAGAAGTGGTAGTAGTTTTCCCTTCCTAGGTCCTTACCCAGGATAATGAAACTCTGCGAGAGTTATTTCAGAGGGCAGAAAGACCTGCAGCTTGTCTGTGAGATCTTGTAGAATTAAAAGGCATGGTCCACCCAATATATTTGGGGGATGTTAAAAAAATATATAAACATTAGCCTCAGTCTTTATTTCTTAATTACAAAATTCTATCCTCCTTAACAAAAGTCATGCCCAGCTACCTGGCAGAACGCGTTGCACACTGTTTTGCATCAATAACCCCTACACTTCCCTCCTGAAGGCATCTCATCACCAAATGCAAGCCGACTGCTTAATGCAGGACTAATTAGTATATCCCCTTCCCGTCTGCAGGCCCTCCATTGTAATTCCTTCCCAGCTCATTTTTTTCCACAACCGCGCATCAATCAAAGTAAGTGCCCTGCCTGCCTCGGAAACACAAGATGTCCTCCATGCATTTGTCATCTGCCACGCAAACAAAGGGGGAATTTAATTGTTGATCTGGGGAAGCAGCCGCCGCACAGGGGAAGGGAAGCTGTGGTGGGGGGAGAGAGGTAGGCGCAAAGTTTGGTGGGTGGGCCAAGAGCAGAGAGCCTAGGGTACGTCTTTCTAGGATCTTACTTGGGCTTTCTTGGGGCCGGGCCTTCAGGGATTTAGCCGCAACCCGATCATTGGAGGGACATTTTCCCCAAAGCAAATGAGTTTTTCTTCTTCTTCCGTATGAATGTGAAAATGCCACTGAAAGAAGATACGCGTCACAGTTACCATGTCAGACTGTTTTCAGAAGCCAGGTCAGCCCGCATCATGTGCCTGTCCATCAGCCAAAAAAAGAGGGTCACAGGGAGACAAAATAAAGTCAGGGTTTTATGCAGAAGTGAATGACCTGCAGTATCTTCGTCTTTTTGTTTTTCCATTTTTGGGAAAATACTGATTTTGGCTTTTCCAGGCTAAAGATAGGCACATAAGAACAGAGCCCAACGAGGGCCTATCAGCTGAGTGTCCTTGTCCCACCGCGTTATAGAAATGCCCACCCCCAGCTTACTGAATCC